TTCTGGGGGGGCCAGGGGCCAGGGTTTTAGCCTGCCCCTTGTGCCCACTGGCAATGCTTACTGTACCTGCTGTGCTCCAGGCATCATGTACGGCTTGTGCTTCTTCGTCACTGTGTTTGGCAACTATGTCAGTCGGCTGCGGCGAGTCATCTGTGCCTCCTACTACCCATCCCGGGAGCAGGTGAGGGCTCCCCCTTCCTCAGGGTGCTAAGCTAGTGGCTGACTGTCTTGGCTTTGGGGAGCTTGAGCCCTTCAGCAGCCCCAGGCCTCTCTCCTCTGGTTGAACCCCAAAGCAAATTACCTGGATTACAGGTCTCTGGACCCCAGATAGGGCTGGAAGAAGTTGTGCCTCTTGGGGCAGGGATTCCTGAGACAGAGCTTGCTTCCAAAGTTTTGTTAAAACCATGGAGGAACTTGGGTGGTGTTGGCATGTTGAGGTGTGAATAGAAATTCGCCAGTTTTTTACTTATTTACTGATCATTTACTGAGCATCTACTGTATGCCAGTCACTGTGCTGGTCTCCAAAGATACCAAGATGAACCAGACATGGTCAGGAGCTCAGAGTCTCAAAGCAGGCTAGACAGGCTTTTAACAAAACATTACAATTAAAAAGTGCTTTTATTAAGGAATGAATAAAGTGCTGTGGAGACCCAGAGAAGAAGGTGGGTAACTCTACCTGGTGAAGTCCAGAAGGCTTCCCAGAGGAAGGGGCATTTGAGCCAAACCTAGAGGGATTCATAGGAGTTGGACAGAAGAAAAAGGTAGAGAGTGGGGATGGGTGCGGAGGACATTCCAGGCAGATGAAACAGGATCAAGTGGGACCCATCCCTGATCTCCCCCCATCAGGAGAGGATTGTCTACCTCTACAACATACTTCTAAGCCGCCGAACCAACCTGTTGGCTGCTCTAAGCAGAACCGTGAGGCGGCGGGCAGCTGACCAGGGCCACACGAGTGCCCTCCATGTGCTGGCCAGCCGGTGAGCCCACTGTCCTTTGCTATAGGAGTTGGGTGAGAGGGGACAGAAAAAGAGCCAGAAGTTAGAATGGATCATTGTCCTCCCTAAGTGAAAAGAGGTTTGGTTGAAAAGGGTGCCCATTCCATGCCATCATGCCCTAAGAGGGAGAATTAGAAATGAGAATTCTTAGGGGTGGAGAGTGATGGGAAGGAGGAGGACAGTGCAATAGAGAGGTTGTTGCTAAGAAGGTTAGACTGCAGGAAGGCTTCCCCATCATTTGGAGGGTGGTGCTGGAGTAGGGAGGGTTAGGCTGTCTGAACTGGCCTGCTTAGTGTCTGTGACCCTTCTTCTCAGGTGTCCCTGCCTGGGTTCATTTGTCAGCCACTTTTGGCCGCATCGGGCCTACTGCCTGGGCTGTGGGCAGCCCCAGGATGAGGGGGACATGGAGAACTTTGTGTCCTGCAGTACCCCAGGCTGCGGAGGTGAGACCCCTGGGTGTGTGCCTCTCCCTGATGGGCTCACTGTATTTGCATATGACAATCAACTGTGGTCCTTCTTTTTTCTTTTTTAAAAGATGACCGGTAAGGGGATTTTAACCCTTGACTTGGTGTTGTTGTCAGCACCGCACTCTCCCAAGTGAGCCACGGGCCGGCCCTTGTGGTCCTTCTTTTATGGACTTCTCTTATACCTCACCTTTTGTACCCCTCCCATCATTACTATGCATGTTCTCATTTACATAGAGCTCTCAGGTAGCTCATTTTCTGCATGCTTGCCTTGATTCTCCTGGGTGAGAACAGAATTTCTATGCAAGTGGCATTGCAGCAGTTCCCTAGTGTGCACAGTGTGCAGGCTGGACAAGGACGATTCCTCCAGGGGTGGGACAGGGGAGACGGGCTGGAAACTAGGGAGCACAGGGGCTGGGTGGGTAAGCCCAAGTTCACCTCCTTTGCTCCTGGCCTCCTCTAGGTCTCTACTGCCTTGCCTGCTTCCGCCTCCTAAACAGCACCTGCTCTGTGTGCGCATCTCCCCTCTCCTACCAGGGGGACCTGGACCTGGAGCTGTGAGTCTTTCAATGACAAGAGGTGGCTGGAGTCTGTGGGGGCAGTGGGAGTAGCCACCCTTCCCCCAGGACATCTGTGGGCCACTAAATGGGAGTCTTCTCCAGGGACTCTAGTGACGATGAGAGCCCCCAGCTATGGCTGGCTGCAGCTCGAAGAAAGGACCCTGAGCAGGAGTGGTTACTGCAGCAACTGTTGGAAGAAGCACTGGACAAAAGCCTCTCGATGGAGTCTAACTCCAAGATCAGGTGAGTGCGAAGCAGAAGAAGGTGGCACCAGAGAATTGGGAAGCTTAAGCAAGTTCTTTCACATTTACAATGGGCTTCCTGGGTTCCTGGACCTCTGCTTGGTCTGGAGACAGAGATGAGGGGAGAGGAAGGAATGGAGGTTTGCTGAGTGCCTGCTGTGTGGTGGCACCCCTTCCCTGAAGGAGCTCACCATGCAGTGGGGGAAAGTGACATCAAATACATATCAGTGTGGAGAGCACCCTAATAAGGGATGAAGTTTGCTTCTTAGCAGCACAGAGACTGGAACAACCAATTTGGGATGGGGATGTATCAATGAAGCCTTCACAAAAGAGGCAAAAATGAGCTGGAATTTGGAGGTAACCTGGTAGTTTGTTAGGCTGAGAAGTGGTGGAAAGCATTCCAGATGGAAGCCCATGTGAGACTGAGAATGTGAAACATTCAGGAAGGTAGAATCTGAGTGGGGAGTGTGTGTATGGGTGGAGACCTCAGAGAATGTGGGGAGATGAAGTTGGAAGTCAAGGTGGGGAGAGATGGGCAAGGGCCTTACCCTTTGAAGATCTTAGGTTGGAAAGTGCCATGTTCACATTTATCTTTGAAGACCATAAGCTCAGAAGGCAGAACGGAGACTGCGCAGGAGCAGGGAGACCAGAGAGGCGGCTGCGCTAGTTCAGGAGAAGTTGGTGATGGCCTCAGGATTGAGGTGCTAGAGATAACTGGGGTTTCTATGCTTGGCACTGGGATGGAGGACAAACAGGTTCTGGGGAAAGAGGACTGGCCCAGTTTGAGATCTTGAGGTGTCTATAGGACATCCAGCTAGAGATGCCCAGGGGGCAGTTAGAAAGGGCAGGGCTCTGGGCTGGAGGTGTACTGTTGGAGGTCATTGATTTAAAGACTGTAAGAGAGAGGATTAGATAGGTCATTCTGGCAGAGGGCATGATAAGAGAGAGGAAGGCGACAAGGGCAGAAGAACCTTGGGAGTTCGGGCCGGCCCGTGGCTCACTCGGTAGAGTGCGGTGCTGATAACACCAAGGCCCCGGGTTCGGATCCCATATAGGGATGGCCGGTTTGCTCACTGGCTGAGCGTGGTGCTGACGACACCAAGTCAAGGGTAAAGATCCCCTTACCGGTCATCTTTTTAGAAAAAAAAGAAAAGAAAAGAAAAGAAAGAAGAGTGGGTTGGTGGCAAAGTGAGTGGGTTAAGGGGGGAATGGCTGCCAGAGCAAACGTGACCATAAAGTGAATGTGATTCAAGTCGACGAAGCGCATGGACAAAAATGCTTCCTGTGGCCAAATTGGGGCGATGTCTCTTTCCACTCCAGTGTAGAACAAACCTAAAAACCGTCCTTGGGACAGAAGTAAGGAAGTTCCCGGTGTTCAGCAAACCTCTTCCTCTCAAGAAATCCAAAGGGGAAGTCAACATAATTCATAAATGACCATAGGACCTGTCGTGACAAACGAAAGGCAGGGAGAATGTTAGCCTTTAAAATCATACCCTGCTGGGCCGGCCCGTGGCTCACTCGGGAGAGTGCGGTGCTGATAACACCAAGGCCCCGGGTTCGGATCCCACATAGGGGAGACTCAAGAATGCAGGAGAGCCAAGCATGTGAAATGCTGTGAGATGGTCAAGTAGGATGAGGATGAAGACAGGCCACGAATCAGGCAGTTAAGAGGTCATTGGACTGGCTCGTGGGAACATTCTTCACGGCATCAGGAAGGCCAAAAACAGATCATGATAGGTTGAGAGGTGACTGATAGAGGGGACTCAGAAAAAGGGTATGTGGCTCCTTCATCACTGTTGCAAGAAGTATGATAATTATTTTAATATAATAACTTGTAGTTTAAAAAAGTAAGCTTGATGGTGAAGACAAGAAGAGGGTCAGCTTTACATAGCAAGAGAGTAGCTTTAAGGGGATTTTCTAGAGAAGATTTCTTTCTTTCTTTTTTTTTTTTTTTTTTTCCAAAAAGATGACCGGTAAGGGGATCTTAACCCTTGACTTGGTGCTGTCAGCACCACGCTCTGCCAAGTAAGCCACGGGCCGGCCCCCTGTGAAAACAGAATGTTGGTGGGGCTGGCCCGGTGGCGCACTGCTATAGTGCACCGCTTGGGAAGCGTGGCGGCGCTCCTGCCGAGGGTTCGGATCCCACATACAGACCGGTTCCCGCTCACTGGCTGAGCGAGGCGCGGGAGCAACACCGAGGGCTGCGTCCAAATACCTGTTTGATCCCTTTATATTAAAAAATTATATATAATATTGCTATATACACAAAAAAAAATTGGGCCGGCCCGTGGCTCACTCGGTAGAGTGCGGTGCTGATAACACCAAGGCCCCGGGTTCGGATCCCATATAGGGATGGCCGGTTTGCTCACTGGCTGAGCGTGGTGCTGACAACACCAAGCCAAGGGTTGAGATCCCCTTACCGGTCATCTTTTAAAAAAAAAAAAAAAAAAAAAAAAAGAAAACAGAATGTTGGTGACTGGCCATCCAATTCCTCTCCTTACTAGTTACCTGGATGAGAAGGGGCCTCAGCAGAGGATGCACCGGCAGCAGACCTCACCTGAAGCCCATCAATCTGCCAGCATTCCCAAGACCCCTGAGCCCCACACACCACCTCAGGAACTCTCTGCCCACAAAGCAGTCCCCTCCCCAGCTTCAGAACCCCCAGCCCTGCTGTCAGCTCCCTTTCCTCTTGATCCCTCCAACCCACCTCAAAAATAAAGGAACCAAAAGTGGACACAGTGTGAATCTTAAATTATTATTATTTCTTCCTGTCGCTTACACCCGAGGTGGAGGAGCAGGGGTGGGGGGAGGGAACAGGAGAGGGGGAAAAACGCCTCCCCCTCTAAGGCACTGACTGGGAAAGCCGCAAGTAGGGAGAGGGGAGGCCACTTTGACCCCACTCTCTGGGGCTAGGCCCCAGGTCTCCCCAGTCCCCGGCTCCCCCCATCACCTGAAATGCTAAGATGAGGCCCAGGGTAACCCGACCTCCCCCCAACCCCAATATATTACATCATCACTTTTTAAATAGATACAGGGACTGGTCCCACTACCCCCTCCCTGTGACCCCTCCCCACTGTTGGGGGTACCTGGGCAGCTGTGCAAATGGGCATAGGGGTGCATGGAAGGGAGGGAGAGCACCGGGCCCCTGAACCTGCCCCTTTTAAGGAGGGGGAGGGGCCGCCAGGCCAGGGAGGGTAAATAGTGCAAGGCAGAGCCCAGGCCGCATCGGGGTCCAGCACCCGGCGAGGAAGTGGGGGAAGGTAACCCCCACCCCCAGCAGAATTGGGTAGTTAAAAATCTGAAACTAGATTTCAACAAGACCAACATATGTGGCTATGTACAGAATGGGGGTGGATTCAATCCTAAGAGAAGAGTGAGGGGATTATTCTCCCCTGCCCAACAGGAAGCCCGGCTGGCAAGGATTTGGGAAAGAGATCTCTTTCCCACAGGTCCACAGCCCACTTTCCTAGCGGCCAAGCCACAAGTTATTCGCTCACAGCCTTGGCAAGGGGGCGTCCGCTCACTGGCTGCGCGGGCAGGGGTGGTTGAGGTTCGTGAAGACGGCTCGCTCGAAGTGGCCGCCGGGGGCGCTCGCCCGCGTAGGGCACGGCCGCCAGATGGCGCCCGCTCGCCCGCTCTCCGCAAGGATCCCCCCAACCCCTCACCCGGTCCCACACCCACAGCCGCGCCAGCCCGGGGGCGGCGTGAGTCAGGGGCGGCAGCAGTGGCGGCGGCTCCGGCTCGCACCTGGGCGTGGAGGAGGTGGGGAGGAGAAGAGGGTAGGACGCAGCCCGGCCCGCCCTGCCCTCTGGCCCCGAGGAGGGAGCGGCGGGAACAAGACATTCCCTGCCCGGGGACGCGGGAGGGGAGGGACAGGGAGAGGAGCGGCTCCCCTAGCTTGGGCGGGGCCCCTCCCGCTGCCCCCAGGGGCGGGCGAGCCAATCAGGCCACCCCGCCCCCTTCATCAGGACCCCATGACTCAGCGCTGGGAGCAGGGCGGAGGGGTACTGGGATGGCTCCTTCCTTACAGGCCCAGTCCCCCCAGTCTTTCAAGCTTCCAACCTGCTTTCCCCCACCTACCCTTTCTTTGCCGCCCCCCTTTGCATAATTCACTGCCAGGAAAAGGGAACAGAAACCAGGAAGGAGGGGTCTCGGAAGGGAGGGGCAGTCCTTCACCCCCTTACACAGCCAAAACCTCCAGGAGGAATGGGGCGGGGCAAGGCTTTGGTCCAAAGCCCCCACTCCCTAGAAACCCGCATAGCCGAAGTGGGACCCCACAAATCAGAAATACATTATTGCTTCTACTCCCCAGGAGCAGCCGGGGACAGGGACCCCACCTTTACAATAGAACTGTAAATATACACATAATATTGTATGTATCACTCCTTGGGGGAATCACCCCAATCTGGGGAGCCTCTGCCCCAAAACCTTCTCAGCTTGGAATTGGAATGAGGGCTCAGGGGGAAGGGGCTGATTCTCATGCCAGCAAGGTTTAGTGCCCATGACCCCAGCTCTGTCCTGCATGTTCCCACTGCTTGGCATGGGTGTCCCTGGCCTTGTGCTGCTCCAGCCTGGCCACTCGTCCCTCTTTAAGAGGACTCCATGGCACCTTCAGCCTGGGGTGTGGTGGGTGCCCCTTCCTCCTCATCATCATCAGGGGGCCCCGGGGTAGAGACCGGGGGCCCAGTGGGGGCTGACTGCTCCCAGAATCGAGCCAGGGAGAGGCGGAAGGTGTCCAGGTGGCCATTGGAGAGGTCTAGACCAGCGGGGGATGGGGCAGTGGTGGAAGGTGGTGGATAGTGGGGTGGTGCATCGTCCTTGCGACGCCGCCGGGTGCGCACCTCCAGGCAGTTCTGGCCCTTGAGGTGGCGCTGCAGGTGGTCCTCCTTGGCAAAAGCCTTGTGGCACAGGTGGCACTCATAGGGCCGGTCCCCTGTATGCAGGTGCATGTGGTTCTTGAGGTCGTAGCTGTGCAGGAAGCGGGCTGGGCAGTGCGGGCACGAGTAGGGGCGCTCTCCTGTGTGCTTCCGCATGTGGATCTTCAGCTTGTCGTTCCTGGCACAGGCAGGGGTGAGGGGGCAACGGAGGTGTTCAGGATGGGTTCCCCAACTCATCCTGCCCATGCTCCCAGGCCTTGTCCCACTCCCGGTCTCATCCCTCACCATTTGTTTCCCCATTACTGCCCCAGTATACCCCTGCTGATCTGCCTCCAGCTAACCTGGGCCCTGCCAGCATCCACTCCTCTGCTTCCAGCACAGCCTTCTTGTGCACCAAATCCTTCATGCCCCAGACCCACCCCGCTTGGTCTGCTTTCTCCTGCTCTCTCTCCTCACTCCAGTAACCAACACACACTCCAGTCCCTCCAGGGTGTCTTAACAACCTCTCCCCACCCCTGCATGGCCCCCACTGAGCCCCTTCCCCACTTGGTGCTCACCGGGTGAAGCGGACGCCGCAAACTTCACAGGCGAAGGGTTTCTCGCCTGTATGGGTCCTCATGTGGCGTGGCAGTTTGCCTGCCCCATGGATGATCTTGTGGCAGACTGGGCACTCCTGAGGCATCTGGGAACGGCGTTTGCGCACTAACTTGTCTTGGCCGTCCAGGCCTGGGGCCAGGGCATCTTGGTGCAGGGAGCTTAGGTAGGCCATCAGGTCAGGATCGATGGCATCCTCGTCTGAGCCCAGCTCCTCTGGGGACAACGGGGGCCCACTACCCTGTGCCATCCCATAGGCCGGGGGATATACCAGCTCCTCCTCTTCTTCCTCACCCTCGTAGGCCTCGTAGCTCAGGGACCCTTCAGGGGGTGAGGCATTCCCTGTGGGAGGGCTGTAATTGTCCCCCAGACCACTGCCCCCACTGCTGCCCACTCTGCCTGTCACCTCCTCCTCTTCGTAGGTCAAGGGATGGGTAGGCACTGTGGGCACCTCAGGTACTAGGTGGTTTGCCCGGGCCCCCTTCGTTTGCAGGAAAGCTTTTCGGGGCTTGCGGCTGCGGCGGGCAACAGGCCGAGGCGGAGGTGGTGGTGGTGGTGGAAGAGGCACCTGCGGAGGGCTGTCTTCACCATTGGGAACTCCAGAGGCTGAGGCCGTGGCTGTGGCGAAGGCCTCCAGGTACTGACGGGCTCGCTCACAGTCGTCCTCATCTGGGCTGGGAGCTTCTAACCCACTGCCCTGCAGAATCTCCATGCAAGCAGCGATGACACAAGGGATTTCCAGCAGCCGGGCTGCCTGAAGCACAGCCGGCATGTTGGCGCTGCTGGTGGTCAGCGTAGCTGTATATGCAAATTCGAGCAGGGCACCCAGTGCTTCTGGCCCTACAAAGTCCAGCTCACACACACCGGTCCCTACTGCCCCAGCAGCTGTCCCACCACCCCCAGACCCCATGACTGTCCCACCACCGCCCTCAGTGAAAAGCTTCTTGAAGTAGTGGCTGCAGGCAGCCAGCACAGCCCTGTGGGTGCGGTATTCCAGGCCCTGTGTCCGGATGGTGAGGTCGCATAGGTGGCCCAGTTGGCGCTGCTCGTTGAGGCAGCTCAGGAGCTCACTGCTGTGGTCCGGGAAAGGAATCCCAATTAGGTCATCTTCGGAGCTCCCCATCTTCTCCTGCAGGGTCAAGTAGAGGAGAGGTTAAGAGTGCTTATCCCTAAAACAACAACAAGAGTGCTCATCCCTGCTAGGAGGTCTGAGGAAAGAGTACGAACATTGGCCAGCACTTATTGAGGGATGACCACACACCAGACACTCTAAGTACTTTACACTCAGTTAATCTTCTACAACCCTCTGAAGTATGATTATCATCCATTTCACAGACAAGGAAACTGAGGTTCAGACAGGTGAAGTGACTCTCCAAGTTAAGTGAAGAATGGGGTTCAAACCCAGGCAGTGGGCCCAGAGTCCGTGTTCCTAACCACTGTACTATTCTATTCTGTCTCTGAGAACAGCCCTGCCTTTCTGGCTCTTTCCTAGAGATCCATCTGCTTCACTTGCCCCACTCCCCATCCCTTTGGAAGAAGCACTTGACTAGGAGATAGGATGCCTGGGTCCTAGTTCAGGCTTCATGGAAAATTGACTGAAGGACTCTGGGTGGCTCCAGCAGCTGCCCTCAGTCATCTGAAAAGGGGGGTAACAGTCTTTACAATGTAATCTCCTCATAGCCCGGAGGTTGGGGAGAGGCCGATGAGAGAGTTCAGATTCACACTGGACCAAGGTCTGCTGGAGGCCAGGTACACCAGGGGCTTTAACTCAAGTTATTTCTCTAAAGCATTTAGTACACTGTGTAGAACACTGCAAACAAGAGGAGGCAGCTTCCAAGTACCATCCTCTTCCTCATCATGCCCCTCCCCCAGCCACCAAAAGTTCACCTCCTCTTTTAGATCCCCCCTTCTAGAAGCCAAACGGGAAACACAGCTCCCAGCATCACTCCCCCCTATATCTTCCCCTCCCCCATGGGGCCAAGGAGCAGCCACCCTTTGCTGGGGTGTCGCTGGTGCTGGCGCGGGTGCTTCCTGCCCCACACAGATAAGCATCGCCCCCGCCCCCTCCCCCATTGCCAATAGGCCAAGTTCCAGTCCCACCCCTCCCCCTCAGCCACCATCGCTACCTCTCCCTCCCCATTCCAGGAGAGCCCAATCTCCAGAGGTCCATGGTTCCACTCTATGCTTTTCCCTCCAAGGTGCAGCCATAGAAGACACAGAGCAGCAGTCATCCCAAGGCTGGCAGAGGTGTGGGGCAGGGGTTGTGGCCAGAGTTTGGCCTAGGAGGAGACCTGCTTCAAGTCCTGGCTCTGCCCCTATCTTGCTGAATGACCTTGGACAAGTCATTTCTCTCTGAGCTTCAGTTTCTTCAGCTGTACCAGGAGAGGGTGGGGTGGAAGCCCCAAGGGCTCAGCCCTTCAGCTCTGACATTTTGTGAGTCTGGAGCAACTGGAGATAGTGTTGGGGCCTGGAAACAGCTGGGCTCTGAAGTCAGCCAGGCTTGAGTTTGAATCCTTGTTCTGCTGCCAATTAGCTCTGTGATGTTAAACAAGTGATTTAATCTCTGAGCCTCTTTCTTCATGTATGCCACCTGACTTCTAGGGTTGTGGTCAGAGTTAAATGAGACCAAGTATGGCACAATGCCGGACACATGGTAGGGGCTCAATAAATGTTCTGGCCTTGGCCTAGCCTGGGGGCAGATTCTACTATACAGATAGCCTCTGCTAAGAAAACTACTTGGCGACAGTCTGCTTCCCTCCCTCAAATCACTGAGAGGGAGCCAGGTTAGTTCTTGCTACATGACCTTGGACAAGTCACTTCCTTCACTGAGGAGGCCTCAGTAGTATGTTCCTCATCTGTAATATTAAAGGCTAGTGCAGATGATCCTTGGGCAAGTCCTACTGACATTTTGTCAGTGTCCTCTCTGCCTCTCCAACAGCTGTTCAGCACTGGCCACTGATAGGGAAGCATTTTTATTGGGGGGAGGGGTGTTGGGGGACTCAAGAGCTACAAATTTCCTCTTTAGGACACAAGAACTGATTGTCTCTGTCTGCCTCCTTGCCTACCACCTTCATTGCAATGCCCGGGCTCCCGCGTGGAAACCTTGAGTGAGCAGCAGCCACATGTCTGTCTTTGCTTGTAAGCCACACTTTAGGTCCCCACAGATAGCGCACCTGTTCCCACCTTAAGTCCCTAGACCACTTCTCTCCCTGGGGACCTAGCAGTCTGGGAGCTCTCCTTGCTCCCTTTGGTTATCCTGCCTGTACTTTACAAATGGTACAAGTGGTAAATGGCCCCAGGACTTAGGAACAAATAAAAACCAGGTGGGCAGCAGCAGCAGCCACGGCTGAGGCTGCAAAGGCCACTTAAGCAGCAGTGGGCACCTTCCTGGGCCCAAGTGGATCCTGTCCCTCCTAAGGGATGGGTGGGGTTGTCTGCACTGTCCATTGGCTGGGAGCTGGGCACCCGCAGGCACGTGGCTCACCCCATCCCTCTCCCTCCTTCCCTACCCACCCCACCCATTCCCCCTGCTAAACCCGCCTCCTTTCTCCCACCCCAGGGCCAGTCTCCGTGGCAACTTGGTGTGGCAGGGCACTGATTGGCTGACCCCGATGTCAGGTCACAGGCTCAGGCTGGTTCACCACGCAACTCACACAGGGCTTGGGCAAGGGTGGGTGTTTAACCCCTTAGGCCCAAATCCAATGCCCATGGCCAAGAGGTGGCAATGAAGGAGGGGGAGAAGAAGAAGCAGAGGACACACGTGGGAAGGAGAGGGTGTTCATACAGTTCTCCAGCTTCTGGGAAACTCCCCCAGCTTTTACCTAGGGCTCTGGCACCCATGCTAACATAGGTGCCACCTGGAACTATGCTGGTGCCAACCAGGCCAAGGGGGTACTCCTAACCCCATCATCTGGCAGGGGTGGGTGGGTGGAGGCCTCCCCCTTCTTTCTGCCAGGGTGGGGCACTGGTGCCAGAGTGCCCACCCCACCTTGGGCACCCTTCCACCTCTGTATCCCAGAGGGCCCAGTCCCCCAACGCCCCATGAAGGCGGCCCATCCCCACCCAGCCTGGCATGCCCCCTCTTGCTAAGACCTTGTGGGCATGGGTGTGTGTGGTGGTTGGGGGGGGGCAGCTGTGCCAGGGAACCAGGCAAGGTCTGTTTGGTCTGTTTGCCTGGTAGGGGGAAGAACTGGGGGCCCCGCCCCATCACTCCCCTCTTTCCCGCCACCCCCCCAGGCTCCCCTCACTGTCAGGCCTGCTAGACCGGCCAAGCCGGTGGGCAGCTCTCTTGAAACTGGGCCCTGAGTCAAGCCTGCCCCATCTTTGGTTGGGGGAAGACTTCAGAGTGAGAAAGGTGGGAGGGGGAGCAAAGGTGGGAGCCCCTATCACCTACCCCTCAGTGCCCAAGGGCACTTGCCAGGGTGTGTCCACCACCAAGAAACCAAAAGGTAGAGGGCACTGGCCCTGTCTTGGAAAGAAAAAGAAGACTGGAACTCTTTCCAGGTGCTGACCTCAGGCAGTGTCCAGTACTGGGCTGGGGGGCACCAGGGCAAACACTGCTGGCTTGCGCCAGCTGAAGAGCAGGGATAGGAGGCCCTCAACAGGGCAGCTGAGTAAAGCTGGCCCCCTTCCCCCCACCCTGGGGATTAGGGGAACGAGGCTTAGTGTGGGGGGCAGCAGGCAGAACCCGGATTAGCAGCAGAGAAAATAGATATGGGCTGGAGACACAGGCACACAGAACCCCCCCCTCCCCAGGTTCCAAGGCCCCTGCCTTCAGGCTCTGCCAGGGAGCCTGAGAGGGACCTGGCCAGGTTTCTCTGGGAGCAGCAGTTTGGGGTTAGGGAGGATGAGGACCAGGCTGTGATATCTTCCTGCTAGGGGTGATGGAGAGACCCGAGGCTCTTCCCAATGTTCCTGGCACTTTGGCTGGCCACCCCTCCTCCCTACTTCTTTTTCCTTTCTACCGCCAACCCCCACCCCAACTCCAGCCTCAGGTTCTCTTCCTGTTTTTTTGGAGCTAAGTTTGCACGAAGCCAGGGCTTTGGCCTGTGGCTGGACCAGGGGGGTGGGGAAAACAGACAGCCAGTCCAAAGTCCTCAGGGACCCAGGAATCCTAGTTCCCCAGCTTCCCTCACCCCTTCCCAGGGCCTCTGGGGCCCAGGGGCCACAGACATCTGGATTGTCCAGTTGGGGAGGCAGGGTAAAGGGGCTGAGCCACATCTCGCTCAAGGATTGGAAGGGCTCTGAAGGAGAGGTCCTCCGCCCAGGGATGCCCTAGGTGCGTATGGAGCCCTTCTATGCCCACCACAGCCCCTCCAAGCTTAGGCATGCCTTCCCCATCCCCCATATGACGCTTCCCCCTCCTAACCTCACCACCCCCAGCACTCACACTTCCTGGGGGCCGAGGCGGGGAAGAGAGACCGCAAGCCACGAAGGGGGAAGGAGGCAAGGGGAGTTGGCTGCTTCCCGGTGCTGTGGGGGTTAAGCCTCTCCCTGCTGTCCAAATCCCCCAATCCTGATGCTGGGGGTCCTGAAATGAGGGAGACCTCAGTGCTCCCCCATATTTTCTTTCCATACCACCAGCCCTAGCCCACAGCCCCTTAGGCCCCATCAAGGGAAATATGAGGGAGATAAAAGATGGCGGCGGAAGGAATGGGGGCAACTCTCTTTCCCAGCCTTTACCCTCCCACCTTTGGGTACCCCCTGTCCATAAGCCACCCTTCACTCTTGGCCCTTTCTGTGGCCACCTCTTTCTGACCCCTTACTAGCTTCTCTGACCCTTGTCTTCCCTCCACATGATTCATTCTTTGCTTTCCTTCCTTCAGCCCTTGCCGGGCTCCTCACCACCTCTCTACCACATCTCTGTCCCTAGGCCTCCTCCCAGGAACCATCCCTTCCTCTCCTTTTTCTTCCCCTTTGGTTCTCTCTCTGGTTCTTTCTCTTGATCAAGCCTCTTACTCAAGCCTCTCCCACTTTCTCCACTTATCCCCTGCACCAAGCATCCATACTCTTTTCCCAGGCATGTGTGGGTTAGACAGGGGCAGAGAAATTAAATCAGGCACGAGGGCCTGCCCTCCAAGGCTTGGTCTTGCCAAGAGATGGTCTTGTTTAGGACACCCATGCTCCCCT